TACCCCTTAGCCCTTGGCAACCACCATTCTATGCTCTGTTTCTAGAAGTTTGACTTTTTGTAGATTACACATGGGATATAATACAGTATTTGTTTTTCTCTGATTTATTTAACTTGGCTTAATTTTCTCAAGGTCAATCCATGTTGTTGCAAATGAAGAATTTGCTTCCTTTTTAATAGTTAAATAACATCCTATTGCATATATACATATACACCACACTTTACTCGTTTGTCTGTCAGTGAACACTCAAGTTGTTTTCATGTTTTAGTTATTGTGTATAATGCTGCAATGAGCATGGGTCATACAAAAAGATTAATTTGTGTTTTAACAAGCTCTCCAGGAGATTCTTGTGCACACTAGGTTTGAGAACCCCTCTGTTAAAACATTAAATAATTTCATTTATTTTTTAAAAATATTTTTGTATTTATTTGATAGAGCACAAATGAGGGGAGTAGTAAAGGGAGAGGGAGAAGCAGACTCCCCAATAAGTGGGGAGCCCACCATGGGGTTTGCTTCCAGAACCCTGGGGTCATGACCTGAGCCAAAGGCAGACACTTAATCGACTGAGCCACCCAGGCACACCATAAAACATTAAATAATATTTAAAAGACTCCAGCAAACTAGTGCTTAGAATGTTCTGGTCCTTTCTGGCTCTTTCTCTCATTAAGGTTTCAGAGTATATCCTTATAGAGCTTTATAACAATGAAGATTTTTTCATAAGTTTATAATAATAACAACAATGCTTATCATATGTGCCAAGAAGATTTTTAAAAATCATATAGTCAGATTACAGCACAGTTCTCAAAAACTCTTTCTGTTGACTCAATGCCATATAAAGACTCTTATTTTCTCTTGGTCAGCTCTTTCTCCTGTTCCCCTCAGCAGTACTTTAAATTCCTGTTCTGGTCTCTTCAAGTACTCCCTCTGGTAGAAAGTTCCTCAACTCATATCTCCCTGTCTTCAGACTCTTCTGTATTTGTACCTAGTTTTGTGTTCTTCCAATTCCTTCATTCTTCTGTTGTTGATTTTAGCCATTCTGACAAGCGTCAGGTGATATTTCATTGTAGTTTTGATTTGTATTTCCCTGATGATGAATGATGTTGAGCATCCAATTCATTTGTTCTTATACTCAATTTCTATTCATTGAAAATTTCCATTGAGCTAGGAGCTAAATATACAATGATGAACAAGGTGGCCAACTTATAATTTAGTGAAAGATAAAAGCCAAAACAGTCAAGGAAACAAGATAGAGATTGCAATATGCTATATATGCCATGAAGGAGGCAGAATAATTTCATAGCTTGGTAAAAAGTAACATGGGCTGGGAGTGTTTACATTAGAATGACGGTCATTGAAGAGATGACATTTTACACCGACATCAGAAGCATACACATGACAGAGCCCTGCAAACTGCCTAGTGAAGAGAGCATCAAGTGAAAAGAACAGTAAGGGGAGAGGTAGAGGTAGGAAAGAGCTTGTGTGGGCTTTCCCCCCCCTTTTTTTTTTTTTTGGCCCATCATAAATCTGTTTTAAAATTTTTTTAAAGTTTTTAGATTTTATCTAAATTCAAGTTAGTTAACATATAGCATATTATTAGTTTCAGGGATAGAATTTAGTGATTCATCAGTTGCATATGACACCCAGTGCCCATTACACAAAGTGCCCTTCTTTTTTTTAAGATTTATTTATTTATTCATGAGAGACACAGACTGAGACAGAAGACACAGGAAGACACAGGAAGAGGGAGAAGCAGGCTCCTCACAGGGAGCCCGATGCAGGAGTCTATCCCAGGAGCCAAGGATCACAACCTGAGCTGAAGCAAGGTGCCCAACCGCTGAGCCACCCAGGCGTCCCTCAGTGCCCTCCTTAATGTCCATCACCAATTACACCATCCCCCCCCCCCCACCGAGCTCCCCTCCATCAGAGAGAGAGGTAAACCGTAAGAGGCTCTTAACTCTAGAGAACAAACTGAGAGTTGCTGAAGAGTGTGTGTTTAAATAACTAAAAGAAAGCTGGTGATGGCTAGAACTTGGTCAGAAAGAGGAAGTGTAGTGTGAGTGAGGTCAGAAAGATAAACAGGTCTAATCCTACAAAAATTTCTAGGCCAAGGGACAGAATTCATTTCTTATTTTATTTGCAGGGAAACGCCTTTCAAAGACTTTAGGCAAGATCTGAGTTGTTTTATGTTTTATAAAACACATAAGTTCTGCATGAAACAGTAATGTAAACTTGTGGACACAGAAACACAAGTTAGAAGGCAATTCTAACAGTTTAGGTGAAGAGTAGTCAAACTATCAATCATGGGCCTGCCACATGTTTTTGTAACTGAAGCTGTATTGAAACAACAGTAATTTGCAGGCAAATGGCCTATGACTGTTTTTATGCTACGATGACAGTATTGAATAATTTTGACAGGGACCACACATTCTACAAAGCAAAAATATTTACTATCTAGTCCTTTACAGAAGAAGCTTGCCAACCCTTTGTCTAGATGAGAGATATGACATGGGTGGGGAGGATATCAAATGGAGATGTAGAGATGTTGGGAGATGATGAACACATTGTATAGATGCAACCTTCTCTGCATGCTGATGGACGCAGGCAAAGAAAATTCAACAATTGCTCCTGGTTGTTTGATGGAAACAATAGAGTGTATGGTAATACTATTTACTGAGAGGCAAAAAGCTGGAGAAGGAACATGTTTCGATGGTTGCGTGATTAAGAATTCTCTCTAAGATATAAAAAGTTTAAAATGCCTGTGACATATCCAAGTGGAATTACCAAGGAGGAAGTTATATATGAGTGTGAAATTCAAATTCCTGTGCTGGAATTGTTGTGTGAGTGACATCGGCATGAAGAATTACTTGTGGAATCTTCTAGTGAGACAGCTAGAAGGAAGTCATGGTCTAGAAAAGTGGCTTGAGGACTCCAATATTTAGCGGTCTCCTATCTGAGAGTATTTGTCTTCATGTTCAAGTCATTTACTTTTTTCTGCATTTCTGATCCCTTCTTATCTCCAGGATTTGGCTTGTACTTTATATCAACTTTCTATCATTCCTGTAACAGGCCTGCAAAACAGATGGTATTATGCTATTATCACTGGTGTTCATATAAGCACAATATAGTTCCAGAGAGCATAATAATCTTGTTATATATCTTGTAACTGGTCGCTTCTGATTTCAGGTCTGATGGTCTTTCACTTTGCCACACTGCTTCCCAGAGAATGTCTTTATGCCATATTTGGTGGGGTGAGGCTAGACAGTGCTGTCAGCTATCACTTCTTGTTGCTCTTCACCCCCTCCTGGTGTAAAATCTGCTTCACATTGTATATAAAAACTTAAAAAAAAACTGGTCCTTTTCAGAGATCTATTCAAAGAGACTTCATTCAGACTCTCATGTGATCCTAATATTTTTCTAAAGGCAATGATGTCACTAGTAACAAATAACGAATAACAATTTGAGCAAAAAAGACATGCATTAGAAAGATACTGAGAGGTTCACACAATTTCCAGCAAGGTCAAATAACCAGACTCAAAAGATACACATCAAGAAAAATGTTTAAAACCAATAGCAGAACCAGGCTGGTGCAGACAAACCAAGCTTCCCCCGATGGTCATGGACACCACAGTTTGCATTACTTACACACACTTGCAATGCTGGGCAGTGGATGCTTTCATGAGAACTGTTGCAGCTGAAACAAGATGTATCCACTATCATGGCCACTGTTCATTGCTGCAAGTACCCTACCTCCTCCAGATGGGTCTCACCGCAGATATTTTCTTCAGTTAATGCTGAAACCTATCAGGGCTCCTGATAACAACTCCTGAGACATCTATCTAAATCCATGAGAAATCTCACTAAGGAGACAAAGAAGGATTTTCTCTATTTTGCATCCTCTGCTGGCACCCACTAATAGCATCTTAATTATAAATACTAGTTCTGTAGCAAGTCAAAAAAATTCATCTTGTTTAGCATGGGGGATAGCTTTTTGGCCAGTCTTAGGACAAAAGTATTATACTCAACAGATATTCATGTGCTTTTTCTCAGAATTATTTTTCAATTGGTGAGGCATGTTTTTTTAAGATTTTATTTATTTATTCATGAGAGACGCAAAGAGAGGCAGAGACACAGGCAGAGGGAGAAGCAGGCTCCATGCAGGGAGCCCGACGTGGGACTCGATCCCAGGTCTCCAGGATTATGCCCTGGGCTGAAGGCAGCGCTAAACTGCTGGGCCACTGGGGTTGCCATTGGTGAGGCATTTGGATTGTGGAATCCTATAATAACTCTCTGGCCAGCTGTTAGCCTACAGCTCTATAACAGATGTCTTTAGGCCATTTACCACTAATCAAGCAATTATTCAATGCTTATTCGAACAGTTTTATTGTCATTTAATATTTTGATGTCATTTGCTCTGTGAATAGTCAACATGCATTTAATGTAGAGAAAGTATGGTAACCCTAGCCATGAATTCCCCTTTGATATATTCTACTATCCGCAGGTCATTTACCTTTTATCAAGTAAAAGTTACTTGGACTCAATTTGGGGGGGGGGGTCTTCTAAAAAAGATTATCAAGAGAAAAAGAAATTGTCAATAATTTTCTTTTCTTTCAACCTCTAGCTTCTAGCAGGTGAGGTGATTAATTCTTACTAGACTACTCTTAGGAGTACCAGGATAAAAATAGTCCAATCAATGTCACTATTACTATAGTTCATGTTGGATAAAGGATAGAAATAGTCCAATCAATGAAAAAGGATGGAAAGGATAAAAATAGTCCAATCAATGTCACTATTACTATAGTTCATGTTGGATTCCCATGTGACACAGCATTCATACGATCCATTCCTATATTGTTATGATATCACAATTTTAAAGTTGAAGTATGATTAACGTACAGTGAGTTATACTAATTATATTAATTTCAGGTATACAATATAACGATTTAACAATTCTATACATTTCTTAGTGTTTATCTGGGTAAGTGTACTCTTAATCTCCTTTAAAAAATATGGAACACTTCATGAATTTCAGGTCATCTTGCACAAGGGCCATGCTAATCTTCTCTGCATTGTTCCAAGTTTAGTATATGTGCTGCTGAAGTGAGAACTATAATTTCACAATTTAATCAAAGAATTTCAATCTCTCCATAATGTACCTTAGATTGGAAAAGCACCAGATCGAACAACAAAGACCCATTTTTGTTAATTAATTTATTAATGCATTTATTTCACAGACATTATTGATTACCACATGTATGAGGAGCAAGGCTATTGTCTCGTGTCACTGAGTGATAGGAAGGGCAGATAGTAATCAGAAAAAAGTCTTAGAAATTTTTCCTTCTTCTACCCTCAGTTTATTCTCTAATCGATAGAAATTTATCAGAGAATAGACTTAAGTACTTCAGAGTCTAGGTTGCTATTATGAGACTAAATCTCTATACTATTTCTATCCCTATAGCCCTTCTCTTCCCCTGAGAGGCCGTTTTCTTAGTTGCAAGCAGTGTTCCTCTGGTGGGTAATTAAGTTGCCTCGTGGTGGTAGCAGAGATACAAGTATGCCACTGGGATCTTGGTCTTTCAAGGACTGAAGATATGCAAACTCTACTTAGGGAAGGAACCCTGGCTAGCCACAAACCCCAAAGTTTTTAATGTGGAAGGCATGATTTCAACATGCTATCATGACCACATTGGTGCCTATAACCAAAGTATGAGCTAAGATCCCAGGAATGTCTTTGTAATCTTCTCCTTTTGTCCCTATTTTAAACCTTGAATAGCACTTCCCTGTCTTGCTTCTCCCAAATTCTAGTTGCTGCCACCAAAAATCAGGGTGATGAGTGGTCACTCAGCATTCTCAGTTCACCTATGTCTACACAGAATACTTATTGGCTTCAGCTAGCATCTTTTCTCATATTTTCTTGGTAAACTTAATCTTTCAGAACTGCTCCATTAGTTCTCTCTCCACTGTCTTCAGAAATAGCTTTTTCAGCATCAGCACATAAGGGATTTCTGTTTTCTCTTGTCCTTTGGTGGATTTAACATACATATCGCTTCTTTTCCATTCATTTCCTTTCCCTTCCCTTTCTTTTTCTCTCTTTTCCATATTCAAAATATCCACTCAATAGCCTCTAATAGTAAGGTCATAGTTCAGAGATATTCATAATCTTTGGTCACTGAACAACCACCAGAGGAGAACCTTGCCAACAGATCTTCATCACTCTCTTCCTCTTTTAGCTGATTATTTCAGCTATATTTCCCTGGGATTATTTAGCTACCTACCAGAAAGATGTAGTCCTGTGACTACAACCATGGTTTTAGATATATCAGAGAGTCTGTATTAGGGACTTGTATTAGTCTTCTATCTGTATGGGTGGACACCCTTAGGGGGAGCCTTTCTAAAACCTATTTAACATCTATCTTCAAAAAAAAGAAAAAAACAAAAAACAAAAAAACCCATCTCTCTTCAGAGCAAATACCTTTCCCCAGAGTGCCACAGCAGATGTGATTTAAACATCAAATTTTACACTAAAACAATTGTTTCATGTTCAACAAAGAGACTATTTTGCTTCAATGTTTGACTTAAAGATTTATTTGTTACTGGTCAACTCATCAAATATTGAGGCTTATGGAAAACCCCAGATACTTAATGAGAGATGTAAGAATGAGCTGTCTGTTGATTTAGCAGTGTGAGATGTTGGAGTGTCAAATAGGAGATGCCCAATAAAAACAATATTAATGCCCAACCGTGCATTTCCGTTTCTGATCTCAGTCATCTCTGAGAGAGGTTTTGCCAGCCTGATTGCCTTAATCATATCGATACTAGTGATACAAATCTTAGCATTTAATATTTTGTAAATACTAAAATTGTGAATTGGCTGCAAATTGATTCAAGCATACAAAATTTCAAATGGTATGATTGGATATAAGTTAATATTTGGATTTACCAGTACATTAAAGGTGTGAATATTGAGGGGTGCCTGGATGGGCTCAGTCAGTTAAAGTTCTGCCTTCAGCTCAGGTCATGATCCCAGGGTCCTGGGATTGAGCTCAACATGGGGCTCCCTGCTCAGTGGGGAGCCAGCTTCTCCCTCTCCCTCTGCCTGCTGCTCTACTTACTTGTGTTCTCTCTCTCTCTCTCTCTCTCTCTGAAATAAATAAATAATTCACCTCTCATTTCTCCAAATGTAGGGATTAAGAAGAAATCTCACACTTGTACTTTTCTTCAACATTTGATGGCCGGAGTTAGTGGCCTCTGGCAATGGTTGCTGACGTTGAGTTAATTAGTCTTAACTATCTTTATACTCCTAGGACACACGATACTGGTTGATGGCTGAAAAAAATAACAGGATATGGTGCAACATGACTCACTAAATCCTCTGCTGAATCAAGCGGAGGATTTAGTGTTGGTTTTTTTTCTCAACTATCTTCCTCCTTTCATCTGGCAGTTGATCTAATTTGCCTTACCTCTATTTATGAACTTAGAGGTCTAACTAGGTCAACACTAGAAAGACTGTGAGTATTGCCGTGTCGTTTACCTCTTACTCTCAACAAGCATTTTAACAGGTGAGAAAGGCCTTATTTATCTAAATATTTGCTGCAGAGTAAGCCCAATGTCTTGGCTTTCCTGATCCTTTTCTTTTCTCTTTCTTTCATTATTTCACCAGTAACCAGCCCCACTCTCATGTAATAATTAACAACAGCTAATATTTGATGACAACTACTTTGTGCCAAGTACATTTTATGAATTATCTTTGTTTAATCCTGTCAATAACAAACCCTTTTAGCCCATTTTTAGATAAGCATATAGAAGTTTAGAGAGGTTGAGTGGCTTGGCTAAAGTCACATGGGAATGTGGTGGGACAGGAGTTCCGAATCAGGCCTTGTGACAGCAGAGCATATTCAGCAAATTGATACCTCTACCTCCACCTTGCATATGCACAACTTTACCTGCTGAGGGAGGGGGGGGGAGATTTGATTTTTTTCAACAACAGGGCAGATGTGTCAAAGATACCATCATACACTTTCCAGGCTCTTACCACCCATCCCCAACCATTTCTTCCTATCAGTCTCACCAACTTTTCTCTATGACATGTATTCATGCATCAACTATTTATTGAGTTTCTATTAAGTACCAGGCAATGCTCCCAGAAGTGAAGATATAGAAATAAACCAATTAATGTTTCTCATTAATTGAGAGAGAGAGAGAGAGAGAGAGCATAATATACTTGAAATACATTTATATAAATGAGTTGTATATCCTATATTATTAGATTTCTTTAGAGCTATTCAAGTCACGAGTATCCTTATAAGTAAAATGAAAATAAAATATAGCTTGGCAACATGCTTAAATCAAAGACTTGACAACCAATGCTAAATTATTATGCAAGATATAATGTTTTATATAAGGGTTGGGAACTGGAAATATTTGCTGGTAATCTCTAACAGTCAAAATAAATGCCTTTTGAGTTATAAAATACATTATTTGAACACCACCTCTATAAGGTTTTCACTGATGAGGATGTGTCTTGCCAACCTGATATATTTGAAATGGTATCTGAGTACAGTTTTAATTTGCATTGTCTTATTATGAGCTAGGTCTAGCAATTTGCCATACATTAAAGTACTATTTACATTTCAAAAAAAAAAGAAACAAATCAGGTGCAAGATGATGATGCCTTAATTTATAGCGGAATCCTTAGAGCTGGTTAGAAGTTGTTGAGTTGGGGGTGTCTTTGAATGATAGAGCTAATAGGACTTGATGATGAATAGATTCAAGTCATGATACGCATGACTCTATTAAGAATGGCTCTGAGATTAGCCTGAGCAAAGTGGAAGCGTGAAGTTGCCATCATTGAGATAGGGAAACTCAAGAATGGTTTGAGATTTAAAGTTTTACTTGGGTCATGTTAATGTTAGAAATTCCTATTAGTTCATTCAACAAAAATTTAAAGTATTACACAGCTGGTATAAGTAGGAGTGTGTAGTTCAACCAGAGGTTTGGCTTGGATTGTGTAAAGTTGGGAATGATTATAATATGGATGGTATCTACAATCAGAGAATTGGATTAAGTCACTTATGGAAGTGAACGTAGAATAAAGAAGAGAAGCCTCCTCTTAATAGCTCCTTATCTTACTTGAACATCAGAATCCCCATGGGACTTTAAAATATATACACATATCAAAGTGCCACTACAGGCTCATTGAATCAAAATCTTTGACAGCAGAACCCAAGAATCTATATTGTCAGTTTCCCCAGATAATTGATTATGTAGAAGCTGACATGTGTTTGGGAATCAGTATTGTAAGCCGTTCTGTTTGTGTTATAACAGAAATTATTTTTTAATGCCCTGGAGACACTTCTATCCATGCCCACTGTCATCTACTTAAATCCAAGCTATGGTTTTCCCTTACCCTAAGTGTTCCACTCACATCCATTCTTACCCCTATGTTTGCACAATTAGCTCAATAATCTTTTTGAAGATTAAATCTTCAATGCCATCTCATAGTTCTCAAAGGCAACAATCCTTAACATGGCCTGCAAAATCCTGCCTGGTGTTGGCCATCTGTCTCTCTACCTCATCAGGCACCAGATACCTCCTTGCTCCCTGCACTGCAGTCTGACACTGGCCTTCCTTCAGTCCCAAATACACATCTATTTCATTTTGTCCCCAGGTTTTGCACATGCTCTATCTTCTGATGATTTTATCCTCCCTTCTTTCACCTAATTAACTCTTACTCATCCTTTAACCTTGGCTCAATCATCATTTCTTTAAGGAAGGTTTCTCTGATTTTTCTGACTAAGCCAAATTCTCCACCCTCCGGTAGTAGATTATGAAATAAATTTAGGAAGTTATGACTAGCATTTTTTAAAAAGGGGAATAGAATAGAATAGAATAGAATAGAATAGAATAGAATAGAATAGGAAAATGTTGGAGCAGGTTGCACATAATAGAGATAAGTATTATTTCATAAACTTTTGTTTCTATGTGTACTAATAAGTTGATGTACACTCGTAATACTTTTACAGTTGCAATTTTTTTGTGTGCACTTTCTAGCTTATTGTTTGACTTTCTCATTAGGTTGAAAGTCCAAAGTGGGCAAAGGACAGCGTCT